CAGCACGCTCTCGCCCGCCGCCATGCGCCCCACCATCTCCAGCGCGAACACCACCTGCGCACCCACCACGCCATAGTAGGAGAGATACGCATCAAATTCAATATATCGTGATCGCAAAATATATCGTGAAAACGTGATTGAAAATATTTATGTTGATATATTTTCAGGTAAAGTATTTACATTTGTTTTGTAAATAAAATAACACATACATCTCTTGCAAGTCATTGTTTTGCAAGTATTGTGTTGCGATTGTATTGTGTTAAGATTTGCTCAAAAGTCACACTCAATGCAGTAGAACAGGTCATGTGTACTTTTATTCAATGTTAATGAAAAATCGTGGAAAGAAACTTAGGGAATTGGCTACTGGGACAGAAATGGGTGCTTGAATTAATTTTTTTACGTGTCTTACCGTTCCGTAGGCAGCAGGTATGGTAGAAGCTTCAAGGAGAGTCATTTCATCAGGTACATCCCATAAGAAAAATTCAGGTACTATAACCTCCGTAGACAAGCAACCTCCCATCCTCATTCCCATGACTCTGCGGCCGTCCGAGAGGCGACCAGAGAATTCGAACCCAATTACAGCGTCCTGGAAGATGAAAGCCAAGTGAATATATAATTGATTGTCTGGTGTACTTACGGCGCTACAGATATAAAATTTTCACAAAACATTAAGATACAAGAAAACTAAATCATACCGTGGAACTCTGGAAACATAATTAAACTAAACCTTGTGTTGTCCAATTTGAAAAAAGCATTTCCCAGGTTATTCCATTGACCGGGAAAGCGTAAGGAATAATCTTAATAGTTTCTAAAGTAAAGAACCATACATTTTCTAAATATGAGAGTGAAATACTAGAAAAGAGAAGAACACACAACATTTATGTATTTATAGAATTTTAATATTTATAATAAAGAACATTTTAATACATTATACGAATTTTCTGGAGCGAAGTTTCTATTCGTACTTTCTATCAATGGACTTCACAAATAAAGCATCTATTAAAAAGGGTAATGAAGGAACTGTACCGGGTCGATACAGGACAAAACGTCTGCATCCAACTTGGCAGAAGCAACCATCACATCGCGGAAATTCAACGCAGCGTAGTGCACGTGCACCAGCACGTGCCCAGCCGGTACAAGAGTTCTGCGGACAAGAAA